ACCCTTCCTGGATCGCTCTGCGGGGCCTGCTCGAGAACAAGAACAGACCGTAGATGGAACTACCATGTCTCCGACCGTGTACCTGCGCCGAACGCAACGGCCGCGATTTCGATCGACGTATCCCTCCAGATGTCCATGGACGCCCGTGGCCAGAAAATGGTATTTGGCACGAGCAGGGGGACTTTGGCCTCCATTACCCTCCATCTCTGTGCCATTCTTGATTAACCCAAAACAGGGCCCCTAACCCTTTGCGAGGGGTTCTAAGTCAGGAGGGCCATTAGGGAAAGGGGCTCCTTTCTGCAGAGGTATCGAACCAAACCGCCCGGATGTATGATCGCTCCTGCCAAGACGGGGACATCAGTGAGGCCACGCCGGCGCTGTGTTAGACGGGTTAGGGGTTATTATTATTCTCAATGACTTCTCCCTCACCTCTCCCTCCCTGAGATCCGACGTCTCGGAAACATTGCAGCGTCGAGAGAAACCACGACTGGAGTCCCGGACCCCACCTCTCTGCACCAATCTTCCAGCTGGACCGACCTATGAGGGTCCCGGGTCCCGAAAACAGGCGACAACGCGGGGCCCGAGGAGGAGGGGGAGGAGGAGGAGGAGGAGGAGGAGGAGGAGGAGAAGGAAGATGAGGAGGAGGAGCAGGAGGAGGAGGAGGGGGGAGGAGGAGGGGGAGGAGGAGGAGGAGGGGGAGGAGGAGGGGGAGGAGGAGGGGGAGGAGGAGGAGGGGGAGGAGGAGGAGGAGGAGGAGGAGGAGGAGGAGGAGGAGGAGGAGGAGGAGGAGGAGGCGGGGGTTTGGGACGCCAGGATCTCAGGGCTGCCCTCCCAGAGCAGCTCGCCTCGGGGGCCTCTCCGGTCGTGGCCGGCGCCTCCGCCTGCGGCCTGACCGGCCCCGGGTGGGGCCGGCGCGCGGGGGCGGGGGGAGACAGGCACGACTAGGGGAACAAAAAGCGGCGTAAACATAAAAACTCGGAGATCCGCGCGGATTTCTCGGATCGGCGCTGGACCCCCCTCGCTGGCGCGCGGAGCGCGCCAGGGTTGGCGCCGGAGGCGCCGCTGGGGGGCCCCAGCACCGATCCG